TCTCGTCTCCTCTCGTCTCCTCTCGTCTGTCGTCTCGCAACACGCCTGTGTACGTGTGCCTTTGTCTGTTTGTCTGTTTGTGTGTCCAGCTGTCTGGCCGAGCAGACGCGAAGAGCTGGGGCTGAGGACTGAGGCGTCAAACCGGTTCGCCACGACGCGACATCGCACGCCCATCAACTCTGCCTCGAGTACCGGTTCAGGCGAGGCCTGATTGGTCGACGCAGCCTCGACCAATCAGAGCGCAGCGCGGTGGCACGCCTCGGAGTCTGCCGCGTAGGCGGAACCAGTCGTGGCGCGGGTAAGCACGTCTGTCTGTGTTTGTGGCGACGCGGGTCGGCTCGGGGCCAAAGAGGAGAGGGGCTAGATTTGACGGAGGCGGCCGATCCGACGGCCAGACTCAAGCACAAGCATCCGCCAATCGAATCACTCGCCCGTCCCTGGTCCCCCGGCCTCGGGTCACGCTATCACGGCTTAATCACGGCCTCTTCTTGCTCTACTCCTCATGCCACATACACCCCCACCCCTCCTCCTTCCCCTACTCCTATCATATTATCATTAATATTGTTAATTTATTCGCATTTATTTAATATTCATTTTCCTATTCCTGTCAGTATTAGTATCTTTTTTTCTCAGACACATTAGGATTAATATACATGTCATCTTTACTATCAATACTACTAGTATTTATATTCGTATATTTACTACATTTTGCTATAGGCTTAACATCAATTTCTATATATTTTCATAATACTAATAGTAATAAGTAGTAGTAGTAGTAGTATGAGGAGTAGAATGGCTTTAGCTGGGACATATCTTGATTGCTAAATTTGTGTAAAAGCGATTAAAAACGCTTGCGAGCATCCTTTTTCGCAATTTTTTATGTTTAGATGACCTGGTGTAGCTGCAGGCCAGTCGGGAGCCGACAATGTTAAGCTAACTTTCCTTTCGAGTGGATATGATGCGTGTGTGCGTGTGTGTGTGTGTGTGTGTGTGCGTGTGTGCGTAAGCTAGACTTGTTTCCA